TCAGTGAAAAGAGGTAGCATGTGCCTGGTCCTGCCACCGCGCTACAGGCCTTGGTTATCAGCCATTGGCTTACAGAGAGCCCACCATGACAATAAGGCCACCCATAGCTTAGCATTCGACATGTGTGAAAGCAACCAAGTTGACGCAAATAAATCTGCAATTCGTCAGCCCTGGATCAGAAAACGTGTTGCTCAGGGACAGAAGGGTAGCAAAATGAGATCACCCTTCTAATTGAGCAGCATGCTGGCGCGGCGGCAATGCCGGCTGCTGGTGACGAAGGCAAGGCTTTTCGTGTACTCCCATGTGGGTGGGCAATGGCATGGTACCAAACGTGAGAGCTACGAACAGTCACTGCAAACAGGATGCCAAGCCGCAGGCCTCGGGTTTCTGGCCACTTGCACAGGGCCTGAGGCAACTGAAGTTTTGCTCGGCCGACAGCTCAGCTTCTGGAAGGAGGGGGTGGTAAAACAGGTTTTGGGTGTAGGAGTAGCTGCGCATTGTGTGCATGCATTCCTGCATGCGCTCCCTGCTTAGCTGCAGCAGTTTATATGCTTCATCGACCCTTTCATTGTCATCTTCTTGTATCGCAGCATCACTGGGCAGAATGTCAGAGACACACTCAGCTTTTGCAACAAGTTTTGAACATCTTCAGCTTGAGGGATGTCAGTTTCGGGCCTTGAATCTCCGCACACGTGTCCAGCGCCTGTTCCTTCAAGGAAACCAGATTGCTGCTGTAGGTGCAGGACAAAAAGTCGCCCCAACGGAGGAAAAACAAATCCAAGATTACATCGCTTCGAGCAATCCCCACCCTCCACACTCACGAGCTTACGACCGTGAACACGGCTGTCGTGAATTCAAGCATGGTTTTCGAGTGGCTTGGGGCCTATGACTGCTCAACAAGCTTTGCGTTGAGAGCCTTATCCACCTGTCTGTGTGTCAAACTCCACTTGTCTGCGAGCCGATCTCGAGAACTCAAACATCGGTTCCGTTAACAAAAGCCAAGCCCCTTCCAAAAAGAAAGTTGCCTATTCACAACCCAAAGCAACACAAAAGCATCACCCTTTCCGAGCCTCAGGGCACACTCAAAACACGAAGGCGCCAACATGAAACGTAGACCCAACTGCGCGCCGGGCGGGACATTAAGCAAAACCAGACTGACGAGCTGCTCTGGCGGGATACTGGCGGATCCACTGGCGAATGCTGGCGAGCCGCTCCGGCTCGATACTCGGCGGGATCCACTGGCGGCGGGCTGCTCTGGTGGGAAAACCACTGGCGAGCTACTCTGGCGGGATACTCGATCCGCTGGCGAGCTACTCTGAGATACTCGGAGACTCGGCGGGATCCACTGCGCATGGCGGGCCGCTCTGGTGGGATACTCGGCGGGATCCACTGCGGGATACTCGGCAGGATGCTCGGCGGGATCCACTGGCGAGCTGCTCTAGCGGGATACTGGGTGGGGGCGTGGTGCAGAAGCATCGCAAACGCGGATTCCAACATAAAGTCTAACAACCCCTTATTGTTGGGTGGGGAATAAGTCCCCTTGCATTTTAGTTCCCGGTAAACGCCCCAGCGCCCTTGGCTCGCCAAGGTTGAGCTTCGTCCACCCGGCGGCTATGCGTCCGACGAGAAGGCGGGCCGCCAGCCCGCAGCCTCCAGCAAGTGGACGAGCACAGCGCCAGGCGCACTCGTTTCGAATGTATATACACCGAACAGTGGAGAAGGACCAGAGAGTCAGGATGCGAGCGCCTCAGGCGAGTCGAAGGTGCAGCGATCTGGTGGCTTCAGGTGGAAATTGGGAGCAACCAATTGTAAATGCTCGGAATCAGGTAAAGCATGAGGAACTTTACACACCAAGGCTCAGCATCACAAGTCCCCAATAGATGCTTTGCTCCAGGGCGTTCTCTACGCGAAGTTTCATGTTTTCCTTCAGGGGCGGAGCTGCTGGACCCATCGTGCGCGCTCGCACACACACACACACACACAGAGACACACATGCGCACACACAAACACACAGTTCGCTCCAGAGCTTGAATATCAATTTGCGAAATCTTGTGAACAAGTGATTTCAATCGGGGCATGACTGCGACGATTTCAAAGTGAGTGCCGGCTACATCTAGTGCTTTCATGTTGCATTAAAGTTTTACAGTCCACACATGTCGGCTTCTTGAAGTACATGGTTGAAGCTCGACATGTTCCGCTCGCTATTGCACCACATGTGAGATAGAGAGAGAGAGAGAGAGAGAGAGAGAGAGAGAGGGAGGGAGAGGGAGAGGGAGAGGGAGAGGGAGAGGGAGAGGGAGAGGGAGAGGGAGAGCAGGCGTTCTTGATTAGTTTGCCTTCAGCATGATTTCGTGCATGGATATCTCACGGGAACAGCAGGCGATAGGCTCAGCCAGGGTACACCTGGAGTGTCACTGGGGATGCTTTGCATAAGATGCACATGAATCTCGCACTAGGTCGCCATGGGGCGACGCAGCCATCCGAAATTCTTTGCAGGCGAACTGCTTCGTACTTTTGGGATTGTGTAGGGGGCACATCGCGCCAGGCGCTGGCAACAGCTCCAAAGGCTGTGTCCTTCGAGGCGGCGGACATGGCACTGCCGGATGCAGCGCGTATTCCCATTTCAGGTGGAGAGGATAAAAAGCTCAGAGGAAGAAGTGCACCTGGTCTTCGAATCCGCTGGCAGCTCGCCGTGGCAGGCACTCTTTGCAGTCGCCGGCCCGGCCATCAGAGCCCGTCATGAGGAGTACCTGGAAAACCGCATCATGAACACCAAGCGCTTGGCCGTCACGGCTGACACGCAGGCGCACACACACGTAAGGACCCAAAGACCCAGCTTTGGCCTGGCGAGGCAGTGAAGCTGGCCCGGGACCTCGTCAGCATGCTGCAGGCCAGCGCCCGTGTGCTCAGTTGCATGGTTGCATTTTTTGCCTACCCCAAGGTAGACTTAAACCCATAAGCTTCCCTTTTGGGGAAATCAACCACCCCTGGGTTTAAGTTCACTTAGGGGTTGTCAAACAACGAAACCCTGCTCAGTTGTCATTTTTGCCGCAAAGAGCGTGCCGAGTTTCTGAGTTCGCAGGCCGCAGCGAAGGACGAGCAAGCTGTGCAGGCGGGATGTTGACTCGCGATGTGTTCAGCGAATCTGTCGCTGAGGCCTTTGCTTTTTGGGATGACGATGCGGCACTGGTGGCGGATGTCCCAGCGTGTCCGTTGTGGCTCACTGTGCTGCTGCTCGGACACGCCTTAGGCACTTGCCAAGGGTGTGGCGTCAGGCCCTCAAACCAAGAAGCAAGATACAAGTTTGCCTGACCTGCCAGCCTGCTGTCCATTCACCAAGGGCGGTGTCATCCCTGTATCCGTTTAAGCGGCTGACTTGCGTGGCCAACGTAGTCAATCCCATGGATGATCCACGCGGCAACTTGGCCAGCACGGTTTGCGTTGGGAGTCACAGGAGGATGCATTGTCACGACATGGCGTTCGCAGCATGTGCAGCAAACAAGGACGGCTCTTTGTGTACGCAACCTTTGGCGAACCTGTTGAACCGTGAGAAGCTTATGCATTGCCTCCCTCATTTTCCGGAAATGCCTCAGCGGTCAGGCTGCCCAAATCTGGCCAAGTGTTCCACGCTTACCCACCGGGGTCCAAAGCGGTGGGGGCCGCAGTTGTTGCGTCTCATGACAATCAACGACCAACATGAGCACAGCAACAGGATCCAGCTGTGCTGAAGCGGTTCTACGCCTCCGTGGAGGAAAGGCAGCTATTTCCAGGTGACATCTTGCTGACTGGCGGCTCAGGACCGTCTTCACCAGGGAAGCCACGTGCACATGCTGTGCTTGGGCACAGATGCCATCATGCATTCTATTCGCGCGCTGTGTTTGGTGAAGGCTCGGCTGAAGCTTGATTTTTCTGCGTCCAAGTGCTCGGTGCCAGGGATTTACGGCAGATCTTGTTGTACAGTGGGCACCTGGGATCAAGGGAGAAGGACGCGAAATCGCTCCCACTGCTCCGAAACCGCCTGCGGTCAGGAGCCGGCAGCGCAAGCCAGAGCAAGGCTTCTCAAGTTCCCAGGGCAGTGCGGCTTAAGGAGAGTGCGCAGCCGTGCGAGACACATCCATGCGCGCCGTGCCAGGCGACTCGAGGGCAGACCTGGGAAGAGTTCAATGCAACGGACTTTTCCAAGACAAGTCCTCTCCTCGGACTCTTCGTACGTCCCAGGTAAACCCTTCGCATAACCCCCTCTGCGAGCACGCGCAACAAATCTCATCCCTGACCTCAGCTGAGGCCTGCGCAAGGTGAAGTCCACCACCGAAGTGCCTTGCCACAGCTTCTTCGTTTGCTTGGATTGCCCCAAGTTCCGAAATTCTGAGGTAGGAAAGCTGGCCTATGCCGCAGTTGCGGAGGTGCGACAGCATGAGGCCGCATGCTTGGAAAGGGAGGCATGTGAGAAGTAAGTGGGACGCCCAACATAGTGTAGTAAGGCTGTAGCAATTCATTGCTTCTCCGACGACAAGGCGGCAATTCAAGACAGTTTGTGCGGATCGGTGCGTCGTCCAATCCCAAGGCGGCCGTGACCGTTGCCATGAAGGCACCAATTGCCTGGGCAAGCAAGAGATCAATTTGACTCGCCCAGGCACTGGCAGCAGTCCCAACCGTGACAGGGGGCAAGAAGCTTGTTTGCGTGCGCAGCGCAAAATGGGGATTGCCCATGTTCAAAGATAGCGGTCAGCCACTCAAAATGCAAAAGCGTGGGGCGAAAGGTACCAAGCTTCGGTCGTGCTGGTCCTGATCAGAGACCAGTGCTGCGACTCTATGCCAAGCGTCACTTGGTTTGCCAACTGACAAATCTTCCAGCTGAGCACCACGAAAAGTTTGACCGGCCGCCGCACAAGTTGTACCTTGGATGACGGCCTGAGCTTGATTGGAGCCCTGAGGTTACCGGGGTCAGCAGCCAGAGCAGGCGAATCCTGCGAGCGGCTAAAACAGCGCTACCGAGGAGCAAAAATCTGCTTGTTCTGCATCAGAAGGTACTTTTGGCGTCCCACCGTCGGTGAAACAAGCTGTTCCTTGCAAAGGGCAGAGCCCACACCAAGCGACCGGCCACTGCAGCATGAGGACATGATGCAGTGATGCATGTCATGGCGCCATGTGGCTGCATGCTGCAAGCCTGCCTTGCCCATGCGTGGCAGTTCAAAGCGTCCGATGAAGTAGAATGGGTTGACATGGTTGCCGCATATGTCCGATGTTCAAACATGGGTTGTTTGATAAATGATCTGTGAAGGTTTGCGCACTAGGAGGAACAAGACTGGTAAGGCTATAGTTGATCAAACAAATGTGTCATAATGCGGCAGGGTGATAATCAGCAAAACGTGGATTGCCATGTTGAATAGAATGCATGCAAATGCATGGAAATACAAGCCTGTTATTGCATCTTAATGAATGTGTACTATGAATGGTTGTTTAAAGTGATTTGGTGTGTAACACATCAAATTTTCATAATACGATTAATGGCTCTACTGTGGGAAGCCGGTTGGATTTATCAGGTTGCAAAAAATGGACATATAAGGGACATTGAATTTTGCTAGAACGAAGCTAAGCTTGCCCAAAGATAAGGTTCCTGGATGGTGCCAGAGCTGCCACAGAGCTGACGTTCAGGCGCCTTTCTCAACTCTGAGTGGGCTTGATGCGGGCCCCTTCTTGCGGGAACCCCTTTCATGGTTTGTGGGCAAGGTTATATAAGTTGCCCTCCCAACAATTCACCTGGAGCATGACAGGGGGTCCCTTGAAACGGAAAATGGTCTTCCAGGAGCCCCCCTGTCAGGCTCCATGTTGAATTGGTGGTAGTTTACAGAGGTAGCTGCAAACAGGCAACCGGCTCAAGGAAGTGCTCAAAAGAAGCGCTGCCCCCGGTCCACAGATTGCGCAAGGGATTAGTTCAAAACAAACGCAGTGCCTGTTTTTTTGGTTTTTTTTTGGCGTGGAAAAGGGGCAAATGCATTCGACCCATGATCCAAAGCTTAGGTTTTTACGCCAACATGAACCGCTTTCGTCAAAGCACACGATACGCTGAATTAGACAGTCCCTGCGTGTTTGCGGCGTTCGAACAGATTTTCTTGTTCGGGACGTGGCTGTCTTTCAAATCATCTCTTGCCCGTGCCGGTCAGCAATGGCGCGCGTTGAGCCAGGCGCACTGGCAAGAAGGCGAGGTGAGACACGAAGGAACTTTTGAGTTTGCGTGCCAGGGGACGAGGCCTGGATGGGCCTTGGGAAAGAGGAAGGAGGCAGCTGTGGGCGTGGGCACCTGTGAAGTTCGTGCCAGGTAGGAGCCCGAGCGCGAAGGCGGCATGTGTCACGCGGTGTGTGGTGGCTTGGCCTGTATCCGCAGGCGGGCAAAGACACGCAGCGAAAAGTTGTTGAGGTGGCTGGAGGGCGAGGCCAGAGTACACCTGCCTAGGGGTCCAGCGCGTCTGATGTTGGCCATCCTTGCAAACCTCTCTGGATTGCACTGAGTTGCACACTTCAGCTGATCTCGGGCCTTCTCAGGAGCTCTTCAATCGGAGTTCCCCTTTGGAGCGGAGTATCACGATTGCAATTTTCGGTATCCTCGCGCTGCCCTCAAAGTCAAACGCAGACTTTGCTTTGGAGAGGCGGTGTTTGGGGCCCACGCCATCTCACATTGCTGTCGCTCTCGTTCTGGGTCAAAACTCTGACGCACCTCATTTCAGCATCAGTGCCATAGTGAATGTCTTGGAGAAGCCCACACTTGTCACCAAGGCCCCCTTACCTTGCTCTAATGTGAGGGTCAGGCCAAGTCTGGCCCCTTTGAGCTCCGGACAGGGCAGGCAATGAACCGTTGTTTGACGGGGATATTCTTAAGAGGGTTGGCTTCTCGATTGGCAGCCGTGATGCGTTTCAGGCAACCAACATTCAACAAGTTGGGAACCAGCACTACGGAAAGACGCCAAAGGAGAAAAATCAACGTTTGCATCGTCAAACTAGCATGTGCAAGAGCTGCGCTGGACCAATAAGTGAGCTTAGGTTGCAAGCGTTGGCTTCGCCATAGTCCACGGATGCCAGCTCCTGAGATTTAGTGTCGAAGCCGTCGAGTTTCCCTGAGCATTCTGCACAGGGTGATCACTTTGGCATAGGCTCGCTGTGAGGTTTCTTTGGTGGAGGCCACTGTGATTCGGAAGGGGCACGGCGTTTGGCAGCAGTGGAAGAAGCAGCGAGGCGTGCAAGGTAAAAGGTTTGAATTGGGCGCAGCTTCCGCAAGCTTGGCAGGTTGCGGCCGCAGCTCCAGACTGCCCGAGACCACTCACACCTGTCGCCCTCGGGTCAGGATGGGACAGGCCCCGTCCCTGCTGGCTTGGACGGCCCGGATGGCCAATCAACACCCCGCGGTGCAGGCCCGAGGCCAGCGGGTTCGCTGTTTTGCGCTTTCTTTCTTTTCTTGCGAGCGCATCGCATGCTTTGACAGGCCAAACCTGCGGGGCTCTGAGGGCGAAGCTGGCGGCGAAGCCGACGGCGACGACGGCTGAGGGCGAAGCCGAGGGAGTGAAAAAGGGCAAGCTTCAGCCCTGTCGGAATTGCCGATAGCAGATACGCTAAGCCTTGAGCTGGGGCGTCACACAGTTCATGTGCCTTGGCTGCATGCTGAAGACTTCTACATCGGGCAATTCGAAAGAAGCGGTGGGTCGAGACGAGAGCGCGAGCGAGTCGCAAGTTGAGAGTCGCGATTCGTAGCGCAAGGGTCGCGCGTGTCGAATTGCTCTTGGGAATCGGGGGTGTCGTGCGTTGTGGTTTGCGGTCTTGTTCTTGGGTCGCGTCCCGGGGCTTGATCCCTGGCCACGGGGAAGTTGGAAAATCACAAGCTGCAAGCAAAGTACTCTTCCATCTTCCGCTCCTCCGGCTGGAAAGCTGGTAGTTTTTAAGTACGACAGTACGCGGAGTGTACTCCCGGCTCCGAAAGGCATACGCGAAGCGCTCGCCCGCAGGTCCGGCTTGAAAGTCGCAACTTTGAAGCATGAAAATAATAGTATATCCCTTGTAGCTCTTGCTCGAAATCGCAAGCTATCCTTCACGGCCCTGTGTTGGGCTGGCCTTTGTCCCCCTGCTTTGCCCTTCCTGCCCAGAGCGCATTCCCCCCCCCCTGGTCGACTGTTTCTCCCGTCTTAGGTTGCCTGTGCAGCCTCGCAGCGAGAGCACCAGGGTGCACCTGCGTTTCCATTTTGGTGAGCCGTGTTGGCGCTCACCTGGCACGCTGCGAGGCGACACCCCTGCTGGGCCTGCCAGCCGGAAGCCCGCCTGAACGCCCGTTCTGCAGCGCGTCCCTGCGGTTGCTAGGCCCCGCCAAGTCCTGACCCTTGGTTTCCGTCGTGCACGTTAACTCGGAGTATGGTTGGTTATTCTTTCCGCCTCGCCAGACCCGCTTGGACCGGCTGCGGCGATGGCAGGAACAGCCTTTGCCGTTCCAAAGCCTAAGGACGGTGTTCGACTATCGTCCTCGGCGCTCTTCCGGCGATTGATTGACAATTGTTTTTTTGCAAGGAATACGGAAGGGGCAAAATTTGCGGCGTACGTTGACCGGGATTGGATAGAAGGTAGCGTAGGTGCCGCTGGTACGGTGTTGACAAAGGTGGATTATGAGAATGTGCTTGACATGTTTGATTGCAAGGTTGTTTTTTCTATGTTGCCTAGGATGTGTGTGTTGGCTTTTGCTCGCTGGGTAATTTGGCAATATGATAAATATTATATTGTGTGTTATTTATAATTTGAAGAATAAATGTAATAATATATGCATATATTGAAGTAATTTAATATTATGGATATGAGAGTCGTCCGAAAGGTCTTTGTATTGAGCTATGAAAGGGAAGATCTTTTGGTCTTCGCGTTGATCTCCACGAAAATTTTCCGAAGGGGGTTATGAAAATTATTGTTTTATTTGCGAAAGTTTTGTGTATGGGTGGTTTGCTAATAGGAAGTTGGAGTGATGAATTATGTGTATTTATCGGTAATGTATATGTAGAATATTTATAGATTAAAATTGATTGGGAATATGGAATTTGAATATTAGTAGAGAATATAAAAGTAAATCGTAGTTGGTAGATATTAGTTTGTAGGAATGTTGAAATTTTGGAATTAAATTGAATGTAATTTTTAGTCGATTTTTTACTAATATGTTTTTATATTTAATATTAAATTATAGATAAATAAGATGGTTCTCGGATTTTTTATTTTTTTTTAATTTAGTTTACAAATTATTAATTTTATACGAAAGGATTTGTTGATTTTATGTCCGTAATTAGCGGGGAAATTTATTAATGTTACGAAATTTTCGTGGATGAAATTTATTGTTTTTGTATTAAGAAATTTATAATATTTATATAAATTAAACTAATTATGAATGAAATAATTATTATTTTGAGAAAAGAAATATATATTTATTTTATTTTTCGGGGGTGGTTTTGGATTACTAATAGAGAGCATAAATATGAATATAACAAAAAATTATTAATTTTGTTTTTTTTTAAAAAAATTAGGCATTTATATAGATTTGAAATTTAGATTATTCATTTTATATTTTGATGGATAATTCCGGGGACCTTGAAATAAAGTGATTTAAAGACCATTTGCATTATGATTTATTAGCCTAAATACAATGGGAAATGTAAATAGGTATATATAATACGATGGTTAGCATGGCTGTTATAATATTATTTTTCCGTCTTTCCTTTCTATTTGATTTGGTCATTGTTATGGGAAATAGATTCTTCCTAGTTAACCTCCCCCTAGCGTAAGCCAGAGCCTACCTTGTTTCTGCATCCCCCCCCCCCTAAATCCCGGCCAGCTCGAGACCGCGAAACTCGGCCATCTTCACAACGGAGCACCAACCTACAGGTCAACAGGTACATCTGAAAAGGGCTCAGCTCACCCAGCTCCAGTTACCACATTTCTTTTGCCAGTCGTTTGCTCGCAGAAGCGCCGCGGGGTGTTGGGGGCC